ATCTGCCCAGCGCTGACTTGTCCTTGCTGTCCACCTCTGCGCACCCTCCTCGCCCGTCGCCCGTCCCGTGCAGATATTCTCTCGCCGCTCGTGCCTTGCAGGCCTTCCCCTACCTCTCGTCCCTTGCCTCACTTGCCTTGCTTTCTGGTCCCTTTCCTCTGTTGCCTTGCCTCGGGCCGCTTGCGGAACTTCGCCCACCCGTCGTCTCTTTCCTCTTGCCTCTTGCTTGTGGTCATTTGTGGAACCTCCCCGTCTCTTCATCATTTCCTCTCGTCCCTTGCCTCTTGTCCCTCGCAGAACTCCCCTTCCTCTCGCCCTTTTACCTCACGTCGCTTATCGCCGGCCGCCTACCAGGCCAGCAGCAGGCCGAGCAGCACGGCCACCGCGCTGGCGCCGGTGGCCCCCGCGCCGGACAGCGACCACACGAACCGGTCCACCTCCACTTTCACGGGCGAGTGACGCCGTTGCAGAGGTCGCCGGTGCAGAAGCACATGCTGCCCATGACACTCGTCGATCGCCGCCGGACAGCCGCGGAGACTTGCCCGCCGCGCGCACGCTGAGACAGCCGCGGCCGGTGGCGTCGCACTCAACGGCGAGGCGCTCGTCGATCGCGGGGCCCATCTCAGAGCAGGCCGGCCGCCGGACAGGCCCGGCCAGGTCTCGAAGCCGGAGAGGGGTGGTCGGGCCGGCAGCGAAGCAGCGAGTGGCGCGGCGGCGCCGCAGCAGGCCAGCACGGCGGTCAGCGTCGCAGCAGGCGCATGGCGATGACGGCGGAACGGCGGCGAGGCCGTGGAGGGCGCGCAGCGGCCGGGCGGCTGGGACGGCTTCGGCGGACGACTGGGACCGGCGCGGGCGCGCGGCGGCGGCGGGCGCCTGGGACGCGGCCGGAGGACACTGAGGCCCGAGCTGAGGCGTTGGTTTTTTTTTTCACGGTCGGCCCTGGTTGGCGGCCTGTCGGCGGAGAGTGCACACTGTCTAAACATGCTGCAGCACATCTTGCGGCGCAGCGCCCTGGCTGGTTTATTTGTTCCAACATTCGATGTTTCCAGGCAGTGTGCATGCCCACGAGTGGCTCATACATGTGCGGCTCCTGTGCATGCCCAGTGGGCACGTGCGTGAGGCGTGGGGCGTTCTCGTAGTGTAGCGTGAGGCGAGGAGCTTTCTTATAGTGCAGCGTGAGGCGAGGAGCGTTCTTATAGTGTAGCGTGGGGCGAGGAGCGTTCTCATAGTGTAGCGTGAGGCGAGGAGCGTCCTCATAGTGTAGCGTGGGGCGAGGAGCTTTCTCATGGTGTAGCGTGGGGCGTGGAGCGTTCTCACAGCGTAGCTCCACGATTGCCTGATCTTCTCGCGTAGTCAGTGTCTTGTATGCGTTACAAAGGGGCTGTTGGTCTCAGCGCATAGACTACTAGCGTCGGAAAAGCTGGAGCTGAAACCCAGTATTCTGAAAGCCAGCTGTAGGCCATCACAGGATATATTTACGCATTTTCGCTGTCGTCGTTAATGTCCTGAATTGAAACAGGCGCTCCTGCCCGCCTGACCCGGCTGGTCCCACGTTATAGTGACGCTTTTGCTGTCTGGCACTGCGGCACCATGCATGCGCGTGGTTTCTCGAACTTTGAAGGGTCGGAAAAACATTGTTATGTTCAGATATCAACCTTCTACGCGCGTGCCTTAGCCATTGGCTGGACAAGCCGTGATATTCGAAACATCGAGTGCAAGAGTTTCAGTTGGCGCCATCTGAAGAAGTTTAGTATGCTCCGAAGTCATCACTTATGTTACCGATTCTGGTAACGTTTTCATGTGGTATTGATGTACTTAATTCACTTTATGCAAACTGTATCCATCATCTTTGCGCCGGAAAGCCGTGGGTACTAATTTTACACATCCGCCATTTCTTGTGATTCGTCAGGCAGGGGCCGGAACATTCCATCTTGCGAGCACAACCGCCCGGGACTCGCACACCCTTCCAACGTACACACGAGCGGGCGTAGGCCGCGGAGGACGGGCTGTTGACGCCCTCCCCGTCCACCAGGCCCAGAGCGCGCTGCTCGGCTCCGTCGCACGCTGGCGGGAGCCTGACCTCGGCTGTAACCGCGCACGGCCGGCGGCGCTGCACCGCCAGCCGCGGCTCTGGCTGTTCACATGTGTGACCGGCGGCTTCATAGGAGGGCGGGTGAAGTCTTGAGTAGCAACGTCACACAGCCGCGTCCTTGAATGCCGCCGTGGTATATGCTCAGGCTATTTGAGGGTCTTCTCAAGCGTTTGGCTAATATATACAGGGTAGAGTCACTAGCAACGCTAGATTCATACAGACACGGAGGTTTAGCCCGTGCGACCTGAAGGTCCACACGAAAAGAATCTTACGGCATGCATCGGTCAAGCCAGCCCAATATACAAAGAACAAAGCTTCTATTGAAGCGTTCATGGAATGAGGGTTTTTTAATTGCGCATGTAGTGGCACGCAGGTCATGCTTTTTTATTACCGCTGATTAGTTAATTGTTTTGCGCTATGCACATAACAGTGTTACGAGTCGGCAAAATCAATGGGCTTCGATCCGGCACAGGGGACGAGGCTGTCGTGGTTCCAGGTGTCCAGATCTTAACCTAAAAAAATAGCCAAAACCCTTTAATGTGTGTCCTTGCAAAAACCCATGACAAGCTCAGGGGGCGTCATGGCCGAGTGGTTAGCGCCTACGGCTGCCACGTGGAGCCCGGGTTCGAATCTCGGTGGCGCCACGGTCCCGGTACGCTCCCATTACCACTGCGGTCCGCTGGCAATTTCCATAAAGGGTGCGCGGGCGACGTTTATCGTGTTTCGTTTGCTTGTGCACTGTATCTGAGACCCTCGTTTTACGTGCGTCGCCGTATTAATGCCCACGTCCGGGTAATCGACGAGAAATGTCACCGCAGCGTATCACGACGGTTTTGAGCAATGTCGTTCAGGTGTGCGCCGCGCAGGATTTGAACTCGAGTCCGCGATCTCGATGTCTGCCCACGGCGCCAGGTGCGCCACTGACGCCTAATGCGCCGCGTTCGCAGAGTCCCTACTTCAAGAGCATGTTCTCGGAGAACTGGCGGGAGGCGCGGGAGAACGAGATCAGCATAGAGATCGTCGACCCCAACATCACCATGGCCGGTGAGGTCGCTCAGGTCACAAGGTCACTGTGGGGTCAGGAGCCGCCGCTGTCACGTACATAGGGGGTCAGCTGCATCACAGAGGTTACTAACCTGTTATTGCTGACCTGTTACTTACTTACCTGTTACTGTTACTGACCTGTTACTAAATTGCTGACCTGTTACACATATTACTAACCTGTTACAACAAATTACTAACCTGTTAAACAATACTAACTTGTTACTCACCACGAGCTCAACGGGTGCGTTGAATCCGAAGCGTTTTAAGCGTTTTTAAAGCCTGTTTACGACGTGTTTTTCAGCATTTTTAAGCTTTTTAAGTGTTTTTAATAGTGCTTCAAAGGCTGTTTTAGTTTGACCGTACCGTTTGGCAGGCATTGACACCGAGGTCACCCGGTGAAGAACCTCGGAACAGGCAGGAAGCGCGTCCAGGCGCTTCGAAGGTTTCTCCACCTCCATGGTCGCCAGGAAGCGCCCCTGCGTCCCATGCCGACGTAATAAGCGCTGGACTTTGTCTAACTGCCGCGGCAGACGAGAGCGAGCAGGAATCGGTGGAGCAGACGGGATTCCGCTCGCTGCGGCCACTAGTTCCTCCTGTCGCCGCCAGGGCTGGAAACGGCGCTGGGCTCGCTGTACCATGACGAGGTGCAGCTGCAACCGGCCGACGTCGTGAGCGTGGTGGCGGCGGCGGCACTGTTCCAGCTGGACGGCCTGCTGACCCAGTGCGGGGAGGTGATGATGTCCTGCGTCAATGTTCAGGTGAGGCCAAAGTGACAAAGTGCTTTTCTTGAATCGGTGGGTGGTCTTGTGTGTGCATATTTGGGCAAATTGATGTCAAGGCGAGGTCTGGTATTGTCGAACGATGCGTACGATATTGTCGAAAGATGTTGCAGAACGATCCGTGCCATGTCCAGTCTTGAAAAACGCGTCCTGCTCCGCTGTCGCACGTCCCTATCTTGGGGTACTTGATCTGGTTTACGCTATCCTGACATCGTACTTGCCTGGCTTAGCCTGGCTGGAAACCTGCTTAAGAAAAACTTAAGTCAACCTTGCAAGGCTTGGCCTGGTGAAGCTGGTAAAACGTGCGGGGAGGATTTCTGGCTCATCGTTAACTGACTGGACCGACGGCCCTGCCCAACCCGTCCCATGGTACAGTGACCTGCCATGCCTTACTCTTGATCTGACCTAGCCTAACTTAACCTGACCTCACCTGATATTCCCTGCCTTGACCTATCCTGCCTTAACCCCAACTTCCCTATCCTGACGTAACCGTGACCTGGCAAAGCACATGACGCTATCGGCCTCTGTTACCCTGACCTGACCTGGCCCGACCCGACCTGACCTGAGCTGACCTGACCGGACGCCTGTGTGGTGGTTTTCCGGGGCTTCGCCCTCACTCTGACCTGATCTGACCTTAACTTTGCCCTCGTGGCGGCAGACAGCCATCGTATTCCTGGAGGCGGCCACGGCGTACAGCCTGCGCCCCGTCCAACTTCGCTGCCAGCGCTGGCTGGAGACCAACCTCATGACGCACGTCAACGACCAGCCGTCGGTGCTGCGGCAGGTCAGGTGGGTGCCGAGGGACGACCTGATGTCTTGACGTCATGCCACGATGTCATGATATGTGTCAGCGACGTGTCACCTGTCAGTAACTTGTCAGCGACGTGTCAGGTCGGGAAAGCTTGGTGGACATTGGAATGTAGACCCGTCGACGGGCGCGTCAGGCGGCTCACCTTTGCGTTGTGATCGCTAGATGACACCAGTAGCGCGGCCCTGTCGGATACCACTCGCGTGCGTTTGCGTGCGCCTCAGCACCTCCGCTCCGGCAGCCCGGCGGTGCTGAGCTCTCTGGTCGCCTCGCCTGCGCTGGTGGTGCACCAGACGGAGTTCTCGCTGTACGTGGTGCTGAAGGTGTGGCTGTTTCTGCGCCTCTGCGCGGACTGGGAAGGCGGTGGCAGTGCCGCCGTCGTTGCCGCTCACAAGTTCTTCCAGCAGCGGGCCGGTGAGCGGGCTCGCGCGCTTTGGGCGGGTGTTTTGCAGCGGTCGTGGCGGGGTCGGTGTCGCTAGCCGGCTGTGGAGACTCGTCACTCAGCCTGTCGATGTCATGACGACGGGGGTGGGTGACAACGTCATGACGTCATAAAAGCATGAAGACAAAAATATGTCCCGCCAACAAAGAGCCACAAGGGCTTATCGTGGTTGGCCTACCTTAGGTTCCGCACTCATCCTCCAAATTAATCCCCTGGCTTGCATAGATTTAGGTATAAATGAGATCTTTAGACCGATATAACTTGTCCAGTTAGTTTTTGAATGTTAGAGAGGGACTTCCTACAACTTCGTCTGTCAGCACATTCCAATAGCTCACTCTCTTTGGCCGAATTGCATCTGCCTCTCCATAGTCCTACTCCTACCTCTTGCTAAATGGAACCGGTTTCCTCAATGTCTCGGCCTAATTTCCAGTGCTCCATGTAGATCTACCTTGTCTTTCCCTTTGATAATCTTCAATATCTCTATCAGATCCCCTGTAAGTCGGCGATATTTCATTGAATGCAAATCCAAGGCCCCAGCCTATCCTTACGTTCCGAGTCGCAATCCCATTTATCATCCTAGTTGCTTTAAACCGTTGCCGAAACCTGGGACGTCATCATCGAAGCGGAGCAGGGGTCGTGTCGGGGTTAGGGGTTTCAGGGGTCGTGTCGGGGTCAGGGGTTTCAGGGGTCGTGTCGGGGTCAGGGGTTTCAGGGGTCGTGTCGCGGCCGGTGTCGCTAGCGGGCCGTGGAGACTCGTCACTCGGCCTGCCGTTGTCATGACGACGGGCTGGATGCCAACGTCAATGCGTCATCATCTAAGCGGGGCGATGCGGGTCAACGCACAATGTCTTTTTGAGACGTTCAGCCACAAAGTAGGGCTGTCACGTGCCGTTCCCCGCCCCACGGCAGCCGGCCGTACGGGTCGGATTTTCTTGGCGAGCTGCCAGCCGACCAATTGTCGGTTGATGAGAGTTGGGCACTGATGCAGGGGGCTGACGTACCTCTGCAGACACCTCTGGCGTATTGTGAAACTGTCTTTATTGGGACGCTCACGCTGTTGGGCCGCTTGGTATCGGGCCGCTTTTAAAGCGTGTTAGTTGAAAGGTTGGGTTATGTGAAGGCTTGAGCTGGTATAGGAAATGTGTGGGTCTGTGATGTTTCAGCTTGCACAATGCACTGCGTTCACGAAGTGTCAACGATATGCCCATATGGGCGATGCATGACCTATAGCAGTTGATGCACCCTAAAACCCCAAATCATCATCATCATCAACGATTTGCCCATGGCGCACGTCTCATTTGGTATTTGATGTAAGCAAGGAAGTCCTCCCGATCTCTTGGTCTCCCGTTATGTCTATCATTCCTCACATTTTCATATTCATTGCATGCAATGCAATGCCTGCAAGGCGCGCTATACACCACCGTAATGCGTAAGGAACGACACCTACTCACTTATAGCCACATCGCACGCACCGGAACGCGATGTAGCACAACGCAGCCTGACCGGGCCGCGCACGTGCGACAGCGGAGGAGCCCCTGCTGGACTCGGAGGAGGCCGGCGCGCTGGCGGCGCCGTTCCGGGCGCTGCGGCACCAGCACCTGGTGCTGCACCCGCTCGACTTCGAGGTCCTCCACGCCGACAACATCATCCCGCCCGGCTGGCTGGCCGGGTGAGCGGTGCGAACCAGCGCGGCGAGGCTGGAGATGCGGACTGTTGGAGATGTGGACTGTTGGAGATGTGGACTGTTGGAGATGTGGATTGTTGGAGATGTGGACTGCTGGAGATGTGGACTGTTGGAGATGTGGACTGTTGGAGATGCGGACTGCTGGAGATGTGGACTGTTAGAGATGCGGACTGCTGGAGATGTGGACTGTTGGAGATGTAGACTGTTGGAGATGTGGACTGTGTGTGGGCCGCGGGAGATGTGAACTGTTGGAGATGTGGACTGTTGGAGATGTGGACTGTTAAAGATGTGGACTGTTGGAGATGTGGACTGTTTGAGATGTGGATTGTTGGAGATGTGGACTGGAGATGTAGACTGCTGGAGATGTGAACTGTGTGTGGGCTGCGGGAGATGTGGACTGGAGATGTAGACTGCTGGAGATGCAGACTGTGTGTGGGCTGCAGGAGATGTGGACTATCAGCACATTTCTGGCTGAGGTTTTGCAGGCTCTGGCTGTGGCCAGCCCATTCTGTGGGTTATGTTGTTTGTATATTTATTATAAATATATTATTTTCGCGTGGCTTAGTCCGGGTAGCTTGGTTTGGGTGCATACTGTTAGTGGTTATTTTTCTTCTCATTGCTTTATCAATACTGCCTCTGACTGCCGTACAGGCCGTCTTTACTCTGTTTTATAACATCCTTGTTTTTCTTTACGTCTCCGAGCCCTATTGTCATTTAGTCTGGAATTTCGTGGCGCCAAGCCTTTGGGGAGCGCAGGTGCATGAACGAGTGGAGATATGCTTGCCAGATTTGATTGCCACTGGCGCGGCAGATTTGATTGCCACTGGCGCAGCCCCGGTGTGAAGTACCTCGGACAACGTTGGGTGGGACTCGCGTGGAGGCGGCGGGCGGGCTGGGCGTCGATGGCAAGCCTTCAAGTGACTCGCGGCAGATGGTGTTCAAATATTGCGACGCCGCCATGTTGTCACGTGTCGGAAACGTCTTCTGTTTTCGTCCATGTCCAGCCTGATGTGGTGAGAGGATGGCACCATTGTCAGTATCTGCCAATTTGCAATTGGGTATTTTGCCCTCCTTGAAGTGTATGCCGGCCTTTGATTGGCTCTTGCGACAGTCGCCAGATTTGTGGGCAGCTGATTGGGTCTTTCCACTGTCCGCAGCCTCTATCGCCACCAGTGGCTGACGCTGCTGCGACTCGACCAGGGATTGGTCGAGCCTGGCTGGAGCCGTGACGTCACCGAGGCACAGTTTGACGCATGCGCATTGCGCTGCGGCCGCACGCTGAAGGACCGACAGAAGGTCACCTGGCGGTGGACGGGCTTCAACTTCGGCGTTGACCTGGTGAGAGGTGGGGTGGGATGATCTGTCGAGGGATGGTGATGTGATGACTTGGTGATGGGTTCAAATCTAATGACCTGGCGATGTCTGAAGATCTGATGACCTGGTGATGTATGCACATCTGCTGACCTGGGGATAGTTGGAAGATCTGCCGACCTTGGGATAGATGCAGATCTGATGACCTGGTAATGGATGTACATCTAATGACCTGCCGAGGGTAAGAGACATAATGACCCGGGGATGGATGGGCATTTGGTGACCTGCTGAGGGTTGGAGATCTGATGACCAGACGATGGGTGGGCATCTGGTGACCTGGTGATGACCTGACCGGCACTGACGCCTCGCTGACGCCCGTGTTTCCGGTGCTGGTTCACAATCGTCGTCAGATCTCGCTGCGGAGGCACCCACGTCCGCCAGGAGCTGCCCTGCTCATCGCCAGGCTAACCGCGAGACGTCATCTACCGGTCCGTGGGGAGGCGATCTGTCGGCAGTGGGGAGGCGATCTAATGGCATGTGGGGAGGCCTATACCGGTAAGCGGAGAGGTGGGCTAATGGTCAGTGGGGAGGTGATCTACCGGTCAGTGGGGAGGTGATCTAATTGGTCAGTGGGAGGCGATATACGGTCAGTGGGGGGGGGGGGGGGGCGACGATCTATCGGTCAGTGGGAGGAGGCGATCTACCGTTCAGCGGGGAGGTGATCTACCAGTCAGTGGGGAGGTGATCTAATGGTCAGTGGGGAGGTGATCAACCGGTCATGTGGGGAGGCGATCTACCGGTCAGTGGAGAGATGGTCTACTGATCATTGGGGAGATTATTACTGGTCAGTGGGGAGATGACTCTACCGGTCAGTGGAGAGATTGATCTACCGGTCAGTGGGGAGGTGATCTACCGGTCAGCGGGAAGATGATCTAGTCAGTAAGAGGAGGTCCCGCTCTGCCATTCACCGAACCTTGGTTGCAGCAAGGCGGGATGCTCTGTGAAATGAGGCCTGGGTCGCCTGCGTGACGACGGTTGTATTATGCCACGCGTAGCCATGACTCGTGATCGACTACAAGGTGCTTAGAAGTCATTGAGATGCTTCAAACAGTCACAACGGACCGGTATGTCTTATTCGGCGCGCCCGCCTTGACCGGCAGGGTGACGGCCGTCTGCCTGGACGAGCAGCGCTCCCCCCGTCACACGCAGAGCAGCGGCTTGACGGCCGTCCAGCTGGCGCGCGGCCAGGAGGTGCGCGTGCTCACGCTGGACGAGGCGGCCACGTACCCGCTGTTGCTGCTGGCGGTCAGCGTCATGACGGCGCCGGGGCCCTGGCGGCCGCCCGCCGAACCGTAGCGGCTGGCGGCCGCGGCGGCCCCGGGCGAGGGGCGAGGAGGGGAGGCGCCCCGACTGGAGGTGAACCTCGAGCTAACGGTGGGAGCTTGGAGTGGTCCGAAGGCTGGGTTGAGTGACTTGAAATGGCTGCAAGACCGGCGTCTGGGACTCGAGGTGTGTGAGTCGGGGGCAGGTCGCCCGCGCGGTGCCGGCTCTTGGCGGATAAGTGGATGGCGGGACATCTAGTGGCGGAGTGTTGAACCTGTAGGGACGTGCTTGTACATTGGCGGCGCTAGTGGACGACCAGCTGTGGTGTTCTCGTTGATCGCGAACGGCTGTCAATCGCCCTAGCGTATGATCTCAGGCACGGAGACCTCGGACTGTTCGGGTGTGGAGGCTCAAAAGAGACCGGCGTTTTGGGTTCTCATCTCCCAGTCACCTGTGACGATCTCAGCATCTCACCTGAGAACCTGAGAGACAACCATTGCCTTGAAACGACTCGGGAAGCAGTTACTCGCAAATGACTCGAAAGCCGAGCGCATGATCTCGACGTTGCGTGAAGCGCTTCGAAATGACTCGAAACACGAGCGTAGTCTCGCGGTGTGCCTAAATTTGGGTTCAGCGTCCGGCAGCAGGCTTAGTCGACGCCAGTGCGCGGACCGTCACGATCACGTGACATGTTCCGTTCGCCAATGGCAGAAATGGTCACACGCGGTATTGCTAAATTTGCTGTGTGCCTCCGCCAACCGGCCGTCGAGCGGGGATTTTGGGCCGTGGCGCCCTCCCGACCAAGCGGGAGGTTTGTGAACTTGTTGGTGGCGACTTCCGCTCTTTTTCGGTATGTGGGAGAGAATGTGACGATCGTAGCAAGTACAAATCTGTAAGGTCGACACGCGGTGCACTCTGTTTACAACTGTACATTTTTATTGCCGCTGTGTAATCGCTCCGCAACGATATTCGATTATTTTCTCGTGTGTCCTACATGGAGATATAGCTCACGTGGGACAGCACATGTGTAGCCCCGTGGCTTTGCTTTTCATGCACCCGAGCTTCCATTCAAATGGGGTTTCGCGAAGGTGTGTGCCCACAATTGCCTCCCGCATCTGCCATGAGTATGACGTCTTTCGAAGGACGTGTGAAGAAAAGCTTAAGTGCTAAGAAAATGTAGCGAATGTGTAAGCGCTATGGCGGCGATACTTTCGCCTTCTCCAAGTACAAATAAAGTGGTGTAGCTCTCTGCGCGACTCTGCGGGAAGCAAAGGCGAAGCCACACTAGATATGCAACTGCACGTGCGACCTCGCCCGAACATGAAGCCGTGTGCATAAACCGATGCATCGGGTCAACATTTTGAACCTGGCACTCCAAAATCCATCCAGAAGTGTGTCCAGGAGAAAAAATATTGATTCATGCTACTAAAGTGCTGGCTCCCCGGCGGTCCCGCGCGCTATTCTTTGACGCCAATCCGTTGCCCTTTGACCCCGAACCCAGGAACACGCCCACTTCTCAAGCCTGAGGCGCTTAGTTGCCGGGCTGACTGCCACCCGGTTCGATGCTGGTTGGCCGATCTCGAGCAAGAAGAGGAGCCACAGGCTGCGAGCCTCGAGCCGCGGTTGCAATAGCATGGAAAATATTAAAGTCCCCAAACTTTCAGCATCTACTGAGCCTTCATACCACCACAGCCACAGCTGTTTACTTCGGCAAGACGAAGGTTGTGGGCATCACGGCTCGTGGCCCGCATCACGGCTCGCGGCTAGTATCATGACTCGTGGCCCGCATCACGGATTGTGGCCAGTGTCACGGATCGTGGCCAGTATCACGGATCGTGGCCCGCATCACGGATTATGGCCAGTATCATGGATCGTGGCCCACATCACGGATCGTGGCCCGCATCACGGATCGTGGCCAGTATCATGGATCGTGGCCCGCATCACGGATCGTGGTCCGCATCACGGATCGTGGCCAGTATCACCACTCGTGGCCCACATCACGGATCGTGGTCCGCATCACGGATCGTGGCCAGTATCACGGATCGTGGCCCGCATCACGGATCGTGGCCAGTATCATGGATCGTGGTCCGCATCACGGATCGTGGTCCGCATCACGGATCGTCTCCCGCATCACGGATCGTGGTCAGTATCATGGATCGTGGCCCGCATGATGGCTCGCGGCTAGTATCACGACTCGTGGCCAGTATCACGGTAACGTTCACGGGGCCCATGCCTGTTCCATCAGTGCCCCAATATCTGTACACTCATTAGTTAAACTTCAATAAATGATCTTCGGCCACTTGGGGTCACAGCGGCAATTCCATCACTAGCAACTGCACATGCTGTTCTAAGCAAACATTCCTGAACTCATACGCAAAGGTTGTCCAGGGACTTTGATGATTACAGTTAACGTGTGTCATGCCTGGTTAAAATCCCAGACGAAAGTTTTCAAACACAATTTTCGAAAAATTACATTGCAATGAAACGTGCTTTGTCTCGGCTAAGCAAATTAGTTTAGGTTTGTTCTTATCCTAGATGGTTGGATTCGCAAAATACCCTGGTTCGTCAGCAGCATTAGGCTTGTTTTCATCCTAGATAAGGGAATCTGTCAAATGTCTCGGACCCCCAGCCTTCTTTCAACGCATGCTTGGAGCTCTTAACTGTAAGGAGCTGGAGCGATGGCGGTGGGGATTGGTCATGATATTCGAACCAGGGGGTCAAATGGCATGTCTTGAACAAACGTCAACTCGTCATGCGCAATGACACTGCTTCAAGGGGTATCAAATTCCTCCAAGCTACGCAGCTGGTTAAGGGCTAGATAAAATTGTTGGAAATTAGTCCGAACCAGCACAACTAACTGAGATGCTGAGGTGAGCATTCTTCGCTCAGATGCAGGCATGAAAGCTATCTTCTTCTTACCGTGTCATTTCAGGCAGAACGTCCGCTTCAGCATGTGCTTCAGCATGTGCTCGAGCATGTGCTTCAGCATCAACGTTGGATACGCCTCACGCGTCGCCATTCGAGGAACGTGAGAGGATGGAATGCAGAGCTGAATGAATAGAGAATGGGATGCTGAGCTGAGCTGAATGAGGAGGAAGTGGGATGCTGAACTGAATGCCGAATGCATAGGAAATAAAATGCTGAGCTGAATGAATGAATAGAGAATAGAATGCTGAGCTGAATGCGGAATAAATAGAGAATGGAATGCTGAGCTGAGCTGAGTGAATGGATATAGGATGGGATGCTGGGCTAAATGCTGAAAGAATATCAGTTTTTCAATAACTTAGGCCAACCTCGATGGGCACTCGTGGCTCTTTGTTAGCCGGATATGTTCATGGCTTTATGTCTTTTTGTTTAACTTCACCAGGAGTGATTCTCTGCGGCGTGGTACTGCGATAGCGTCAGGTACTATTGGATGGGGAGGGGGGGGGGGGGACGAACCACACAATGTTATATGTATTGCTTGCATCCATAAACACCGAGACGGTGTCGGTGTTCATGGTTTGATGGCGGCAGGTCCCTCGCACCCGACCTCAAGTCACGGACACGCCGGCTGACGCAGAACGCAGCGACCTGACCCATGACCTTTCTTTGAACGAAAAATGCAGAGTTAGGAACTCTGCAGCTTAGCCGGGCAAAGTGGGCGGGCGCCTAAGCTCAGCAAACGTTCAATCTTAAAACAAAGAGGTCGACGCATTTTGATGGATAATACATATTCGGAATCCCTCAGCGTCCAGCGTATATTCACAGCGTATACAGCGTATACTCACAACTGGCGAGCGCCAGGTACGTCATGGAGTCTGGAACAAAGACGCAGGAGCAAACAACACAGACAATGTCGCATTCCAACTGCCTGCCACTGCGATGTCATCAGTGCATCGCATCGCTGTCATGACGGTACCCGCATCGCTGCATGACGGCATCGCATCGCTGTCATCACTACATCGCTGTCATAGCTGCATCGCATCGCTGTCATTACGGCATCGCATCGCTGTCATCACCGCATCGCATCGCTGTCGTGACGACATCGCATCGCTGTCATTACGGCATCGCATCGCTGTCATTACGGCATCGCATCGCTGTCGTGACGGCATCGCATCGTTGGCTTGTCTCCGGGCCTTTTCGGCGGGACGCTGACCTCGTCCCTGCCTGCAGAAGCTCAGCAGCAACAGCTAGCACCGACCTCGCATCGTCTGAATCAGTCTCACCGCTGGCTGCGATCCGTTCCAGGCTTGGCCAGTAGCGGGATCTGCCGGCGGCATCGGTTCATCTGTCGGCGGCATCGGTTCATCTGCCGGCTGAGCAGATGAAGGAACGCGCCGCCGGTGGCGGCTCCTTTTTAGTCTTGTCAGTGTGAGCTGGGTAAGGTGGGTAAGGGGGAAGGTATTTGGGAAGTGGGTAAAGGTGTTGGATCTACCAAGACCGACTCCAGCTGTAGGTTTCTAAGACGACAGTAATTTGCTGATCTCAAAAGGCCGTTTTTTGACCCGGTAGTTTATTGTAGTTTTTTGTACTTTTTGTTGTTTTTTTGTGTTTTTGTTGTTGGGTCTTTGATTTACCTCACCATAACGCCATGCTAAAGGGTAGAAATGCTGCACAGTTGCGCTAGCACACCGAACCGCCCGAAGCCATGCCTCCGTATTTTCTCATTTAGTCGCGTCAAGCTATGTGGCGTAGTTTTTCCCTCGGAGATTACATTCACGTAACAGAGGTTTTGCTGTTGCACTTGAAAGCTTTCTTCAAAAACGTATAAACGTGTTGCATTGAGGCGTGCACCAATCTTGCATGTTTCGGAAGAAACGTATTGTAACTTCCACATGGCCATGCTCCTGGAGTATCTGGATCAGGTAATGTTGGGATCACCTTGTCAGCCCTGTTCGGCGATGAGGAATACGTGGGCACATCATCCACTGTTGCATGGTGGCTGGTCAATTAATCAGGTATCATCGTGTCAGTGACAATATGGCATCTCTTGTGCGCTACCATGACATGACATGCCGACACCACGCTGGATCTCAACACATCCGACACAACTGACATCTCAACAAGTTCATCTCACTCCACCCATCTCAACAGCTCAGTTCATTCACATCTACCGTCATACCTGTTCTGGAACACAGCTACGCCGGGCGGCTTCCGCTGAACACCACCGAGACACTGCGCTGACGTGCAAGTACCCGACCTCCGGGCGCTCCAGTGTATGTTCGTAGCCCACAACGAGGGCTGCGCTCAACCCGGATGTTTCTGGCAGAGCTAGCGTGACAGCATTGACGACGGAGGACCCGTCCCCGCCCCGCCACACCCACGGCCCCGCTGGGGGGGGGGGGGGGGACGGCGTTCCACCCCGGCGGGGGAGGTGAACAGTGCGGAGTTCGTGCATAGAATGCACCTGTGCCATGCGGATGCTGGCGCGCGATAATGCATAGCATTGCTGGGGGGGGGGGAGGAAATACCGCTACCGTGCTGGGGTATAGCGTTTAGTGGTTCAGCAGATAAAAATGACCAAACGTGATTACGTGGCTCTTAATTATTGCAGTCATCATTTTGACAGCCATGTTTGACGTCATTGGATGATTTTTTCACAACTACAAAAATAGCAGTGCCGTTGTGCATTGACATGGACCTTTCTTACCAAAACAACACAGACCGCTTACTTGAGTGAGGACACATGCTCAGGCGCATGTGCTAGCTAACTTTTTTTAAGGAGGAAGCTAAGCGCGTTAAGAACGCATATACCAGACGTGCCTACAACCGAGCCATGCCAACGTGGGACGCCCAGACAACAGGCAGCAGACACGAGTGCAGAATGACCAGAGGAGTTGACATGATCCAGTTCTTGGAATGGACGACTTTCAGTGGAGCAATTTCAATATCGGCTTACTTCTCAAAAAGGCGGCGCGGCACACCCGCCACACCGCCTTCCTCACCTCCGGCCGCGGATTTTAATGCGACCCAACGCCCCCGTCAAACTCCGTCGCCTTTGCCCTGGTCGCCGGCGCCAGAGGCCTCTTCGACTGATTGCCCTCCCTCCCCCCCCCCCCCCGCCCCCGGCTGGCCCAACGGAGGCCGGTCAGCGCCGCTACCTGCGCGGCGTCCCGGGGGGCGCGCGTACTTGGTCCCTGGCTCGGCCATCTATTCGCCTTTTTATTCGGTCGCGGCAGGTAGAAGCGCCCTCCCCCCGCCGCGGATCGCATCGGGGAGGGGAGGGGGAGTGTGGAGGCAGGCGGTCGGTGGGGGGGGGGGCAATCAGCTGGCGGGGGAACCCGTCGGCTCCGCGCGCGCCGAGGCCAGGCGTCGTAATGCCGATGGGGGGGGGGGGGGGGAGGGGAGGGGCCAGTCCTGTCACTACTGCCGTGCACAGGGTCCAGACGTCATGCCACAGCGCATGTTACCGTGGACTGGTCGCTTAGAACCACGGGGCGTTTGAGAACAGGTGTTGGAACAGATGGCGTAATTACGCGGCTTAGCATCCTCGTCACTGGAGCACGGGAGGAATTGGAACACGCTGTGAACAGCTGGTCCGAGTCGGATTATGGTACTGGTACTCGATTATGGTACTGGTGTTGGTACCTGGTACTCGATTCACTGCGTCATTTCTAGAAACAGGTGTTTTTATCAAGAGCTGAGGCGCCGCCATTACACCAAGAGGGCAGCCTGTGGTTAAACGACCTCTGGTGCCGTCTGAGTAGTTCCATCGCCCCTGCCAAGCCAACATGCCCCTTAGTCCCATCCAAAGGAAATAGATGAAGAATTCCAGAGAACAATAGGAACAGGCCGGAGCTCTCCGTTACTATCAATTAGAAACAAAGGAGCACGTAAGCCTCATGGCGCAGGTGGTGGTAAAGCGATGTAAAATCGTTCTCAGTTGAGATCAGTTTTCATAGGAACAGAAGATCGGCACATTGCTGAGTATACCAATGTCGGTTTGGATTTTAGCATGCCGACATATTTCATCGCCACAAATAACCTCTGCAGTTGACGCGCCATCAAAATCCAATTACTACTTCTGACATCTTTCATGTCAGCTGAGATGCATGGCTGCTAGTTAACCACAAAAAGCGCCCTTAAACCCAAACTTCTGCCGCTACCGTCATTGCCATCATCACCATTATCAACACCATCATCTCGTCTCCGAGACGGTTTGTTGCCCACTGAAAAAAACAAAACTGCCTTATTCGTCCGGAGGGTCCTCCAGAGTCCTGATTCCCTGCATCCAGAGTTCTGAGTCCCTGCATCCTGCCTTCTGATTCCCTGCCTCCAGGGTCATAAGTCCCTACATCAAGAGTTCTAATTCCCTGCCTCCAGAGTCCTGAGTCCTACCTCCAGAGTCCTGAGTCCCTGCCTCCAAAGTCCTGAGTCGCTATCCTGCGCGGCGCTCTGGCAGCGGGACCGCGGTTTGGTGTTACCACGATGCACCGGCTCTGCATCGAAGTCTCCGCAGCGGCCCACGACTGTAGTGGTGACGTCATCGTTCGATCGGGCATGTGATCAGCTGATGGTGAGCTCGGCGCATAGTCGTGGGCGAAGGAACACCGAGTGTGTTCGCAGCGCACGCAGAATATTCTGTTCCCCCTGACTCCAAAAGGACGTTTAATATTCAAGTATGTATGATTTTGATTTACATATAGATATATATATATATATATATATATATATATATATATATATATATGTATATAATCAAGTATAATAATTTTAGTGTTTTGGTAATTACGTAAATGTCTACAGCGTGACACGCCTCTTGGCTGCATTTTTGCAACTTCCGTGACAATAAGTGTGCACGCGAGACGCAAGCACTTTCGTTCGCTCGTAGGCATGTGCGCCGCCCTATAACGTATCCCACACCTCATTCCACCGCTGATTAGTCGCGGGCGTGAGGACTGGCTTGTTTATAAACATATCTGCTGCGCTACTTCTGTCTCACTTCGATCAAGTAACGGGTAAAGGTTTGTGTGTGTCCGGCAAATGTTTTATTTGCCGGACGTATGACGTCACCAAAAATATTTGTCGTCCGGGGTCGCTGCGAACTCCGAAAGGCGCAGAATCTTCGGAGTATGACGTCATGCATGACGTCGACCCGCATACATTCTTTACCATCCGTGTCACCGCGCATACAGTGACCTTGAGGACGGCACTCGCGGCATCTCAGTTGGTGCTTAGCGTACGTCCATATTATCGCACCCTCAAGACCACGGGGATTTCATCCACCACCGCGCCACTTGGCTCTTCCCTCTGCCTATCTTCACCCCTCTCTCCTCTCCCTCTTCCCCATCTCACCCGCATTAATTTTCGCATCCATTTATGGTTCGCACAGTGGAGGAATTCAGTAGAGGGGGAACGGCTTGCCGCTGATGAGGCAGGATCCTATCCCCAGGGGGGGGGGCGGGTGGAGGGGGGAGCTCCCGGAAGACAGGGGAGCTTGTCTCAGGAGATCGGATGGCCACCGGCCCTGCCGGTTCAAGAGCCGGCGGGGCGCTCCTCTCTCGTGTGCAGGCTACGGGACCGAGATGGGGTTTGGATCAGGATGGGGTTCATAAAACCGGATTGTCGCCGTTTGCAAACGGTTATGATGTAGTGACGGGATTTACGGCTTTCATTTGATTTAGTGCGGATTGATTGCGATTGCAATTCGACACATTCGTAGCTGGCGCTTTTATAACACCGTTGAAACTGTCCATCAGTGACCATTTATTTTTCGGGGCCTCGCTATCTTAGCGGTGCGTATTCATCGATGCCACGCGAATTTTGTCATACGCTGCGTCTTTGTCATTGCGTGGTTCAGCAGGAAAACGGCACTGATGTGGCTTTGGGTATTCGCTGACACTTTCACCTGTGCTTCCACTGCAAAGCTCAGGGAGGTGCACCGTTTGCAGCGCATGGTATCTAGATACATATCAAATATGAAATTGCAGCAATGCATGCTATGTGGTTTAGTGCGCTGCCCGTCCTGATCTGCATTAAAGAGCGCTACAGACTCGCTATTTAGTATGAAAAAATGTTGAAGACCCGGACTAGCGTTGAACGAAGCCGCGCCTGCTTAAAATCCTTTGACCTGGGATGTTTTAACCCTCGCCCTGATAGGGGGACGATGCACCCCCGCCCCCCGTCAGCGACTGAAGTTTTCTGAGAGTTCCTCTCCAACATGTCGTGAAATCACGCCCAAATTTCCAGCTGTC